TGTACTGTGCAGCATTTCGAGTCGGGGGTCATCACAAAATATAGTTTTTAAATCTTTAATCCCCTCTCAAAGACACGAGGGCCTGTGGTTGGCAGCATATCCATGTACAGCGAATCGAAAAGGTCTTTGCTTATCCTAAGAGGCCGCAGAGTTGGATGCCAACAATTTACGACAAACATATTGGCTTGAATTATTTCTTAAAGCGCAATTTCAAGAATGTTATTGTTCAGGTTTTCTTGTGTTGTCAATATTTTCACATGATGGTTAAGCACATCGATTATATCATCGTTGTCAACAGAATGTATATCAGCTCATGCTGCGGTTAGAACTTGAGAATCATTTTCTGTGATATAGAAATTCTTTTTTCAGATCCCTGGATGACCTTCCACAGATACACTGTTCCAGAAAAGCTGGTGATATCTGAATAGGGACATAACTGCATTGCTATCCAGCCAAACACAATTATATTGGCAACAGACTGCCATTCTTCAAAGCCGTAGTCGTGCCTAATGTAAGGCACTTTGACTGTGTTTCCGAGAGTGCACTTTTGATAAAACTCATCCCAGAATTCAGACAAGGCATCCCGCGTAACACCCCCCCTCCGTCCGCTGCCAACTCAGGTTTACTATTTGTGTTGATCATCTGAATGGACACAAGATCCTTGCATGGGTTAACACACTTGAAGTTATCAATGAGTTCCTTAAGAACCTGTCCCCTATGTAGTTTTATTTTGTGTTCCTTTGTAGGTGATTTATCACGTTTCGACGATTTGGTACGTCCACCAGTTTATATACCTGCTAAATCCATAGCTGTTGATAGCAGATCAGAATGCATTGGTGGCCGATTTGGGTCAAATGGAGCCTCTGGTGCGCTTTCAGTTTCGTAAAAAGACAAATCTGGGAGGGAATAATTCTCAAAAGAAAGTCCAACAGTAGCGTTGCTAGATCGTTGTTCTGGTGGCGATTGTACACGTGACAGACGTCTTCTGGTTCTAGATTTTGTGACCATAACAGGGAGATCACTGTCAGATTTGTCATTGGATGCCTTTTCTTTTTGACGCCAAATAAAAGCGCAACAAAGGCATTTTTTTGTGAGTTTATACATATCTCTTATTGTCTGATCTTCAGACACAGTATTTTCACTGCAGTTCCAAAACTCAAACCTGTAATCACTAACAGGACCTTTGCTGGAAACTCCTTTCGGGAAAAACATGCCTCTGTCATGATTTCAGCTTTCTTAGCATCTTTCCTCATATTCAGTTTTCTGGTTTCACCTCCTTTCTTAGTCCGCATTTGAAAATTTGTTGCCTTAACCGTCTTATGGATCCAAACCAGTTCAATTTTACAGGATTCTTTGGCTGCATTACGATTTCCAAACTGCCTGCGTCTGTTGGTACCTCTCATGTCTAATTCCTCATCGAAAGACGCTTGAATAATCCTTTTAAACCAATTTTACTCCTTAGACGGGGCAACAATTCTTCTTTTCTGGAATTGATGGTGTACGACTTGTCGCAGCCGTATTCTATCTCCATGTACGTGAAGGTACAATGTACTTGGCCAAATCACCGTCAGATATGTGTTAGACTATATCTGGACCGATCTAAGGGAGAAAAGAAATACTTAACGAGTAACAGATGCATTGAAAGTATATGTTATGTAGAGTTTAACCTTATCTCATAGCTTTGTCTTTTAATGGTACTGTATGTATGTATGTGTGTGTGTGTGCGTGCGTGCGTGGGCGTGTGCAGGCTTGCGTTTGTGCGGGCGGGCGCTGGATATATTAAAAGTTGTTGCAAACTCAAAGTGGGGATGAGATAAGAAACCCAACCCCTCACCCCCACCCCACCCCCTCTAACTAAATAGAGCACTCATCGACTTCAAAATTGACTACGGCTCATTTAAAGTGGCGCATGTAAAAGCAATTTGAAATTATTAGGTCCAATCCATCACTGAGCCTTCAGTACATCACTGATTCATAGCTTATATGCAGAGGCGAATGAGCCATCGCTAAATCTTTGCCGTCTTAAATTATCTCTGTAAAAGGCGACTAACGGGATCGGGTGGTCAGGCTCCCTGACTTGGTTGACACATGTCATCGGTTCCCAATTGCGCAGATCGATGCTCATTCTGTTGATCACTGGATTGTCTGGTCCAGACTCGATTATTTACAGACCGCCGCCATATAGCTGGAATATTGTGCGGCGTAAAACTAAACTCACTCACTCACTAAATTATCTCTACAGTATGTTTCTAAATTACTGAGTGCTGAGTGAGTGAATATTTGTCACCACATCCGCAACATCTCAGCCACACCGTGACGAGAACAATTTATGAATTAAAAGATTTTGAAGATTAAAAACATGTCGTCGATGGACAGTATAACTGTTAGAATATCACAGAAAGTAAGGTAAAACTAGAATGTTATTTTTCAAACATATCACTACAGACAACAATACAATTTAACAACGGGCTATAGATCGCTAGGAACTGAGGGTAGATCACCATACTCGGGACCATGGGGACTTAAAGTAGTTTTGCTACCTGCAGATCTTGTGGTTGACATGTAACATCACATACGAGGTGCCACACCTGTTTCATCCAAGTTACAGACACGTTCAGGCTTGTCATGTCAACCATGAAGCGTCTGAAGTATGCAGAGAGGACTTAGCACGCATACTGAGCACGCAATATTGAGAGTTTTGGGGGTTTCGCCAATTTCTAGTCGGGCCAGTGTCACAAGAAATCATAAAATCATAAAACCAATTGTCACTTGGTGGGTTTTTCCAGTAACTGGAAGCAAAGTCTGCAGTTAGATTAACCTGTGGAAGACATGTATTTGACATGATCAACTAACTGTTTTTCGTCTTCGTGGGAGAGTAGGGTATCTCCACCCGGCTTTACATCAACAGGAACATTCCCCCTGGTCCTGATCCGGAGAGTTGATTCTGGAACTCCATACTGGAGTAAACTGACGTCCTAATCTGGTTGGCAGCAAATTCACGTTGTAAATTACTGGGATCATATTGTCTTCATACCTTGGCAGAAAAATTCAACTTTCTTTTAGGTCTACTATAATCCTGCCAAAAAATTGCAAACAAATTAAAAGTTAAAAAAAACATATATGAACAAAAAAGAAGAATAGTATTTCAGAAAATTTATTATCATAAAAGAATATATCATTTTCATCATGAATATCTTAATATTTGTGTATATGGTTTAATGTATGATTTTATTTTGAATGATTTCAACCATATTTCAATGCAAAATAGTATTTGAAATGATGTGATAATATTAATAATTAATTATGTGTACAGCAGTCTATTAAAATCGTTTCTAAATTTCTATTTAGATTGTGCAAAATCGTTTTCAGTGAGCATGGATCATTTAACGTTTTGTGTCCTTTTTGGAATTACAACTTTTGGTATTCCCGGGGAGATAAATATTATTCATGAGGTCACCACCGCTACCTTATATGGCAACAATGATATGCAGATGACCCACATCAAGCGGATACCCATCATATAAGTGAAACTCACTGTAGAAAGCAGCCCGGGGACTGCCTAGCTGAAGGTCATGTATGTCACTCGATTCGTTTGGATGTTCACATCAGGCCAGACATGCTCTACATTATACATTTCCATAAACCGTTGCGTCAACATGTAATACAAACATATATCGAGGTTATCCATAAACACAACACACAGACAATATCTTAAGCAGAGTCTCTGTTTACTCAAATCAAATGTTTGCTCAACTGAGATTTCGTGTGGCTATAGAAGTTGGTTTGTCTCCAGATGATGCCACTCCAGATGATGCCACTCCAGATGATGCCACTAAGCATGTTTTTCCTGATGTATTTTCTTCTTGTTTGTTTTCTTGTTTTTTGTTTAACGCCGCACACAGCGATGTTCCAGGTGTAGGTGGAGGTCTGTAAATATTCGGGTCTGGACCAGACAATCCATCACGAACATCGATCTACTCACTCACTCACAGTGTGTACCTCCTTCCCCAATGGTGTGCACGTTAATGGCTGTTCATGCTTGCTGACGAGGTTAACGGTCTGAAAAGTACAGACGATGTGATAGTTGCTCAGTGCAATATCAATCGCAATAATTGAAACTTACAACATATGTGAGATTACAATAGGAGCGACAAAACCCTTTCCACATTCATAAGAAAGCTCGATAAGATTGTACAATTGCGACTGTATCATGAGCATGTATTTGTTGTCAGCAATACAGCTGTATGATATCGATGTTGTTTGTAGCAACCGAGTCTGGACCAGGCAATTCAGTGATTGTCACCATGCGATATGATGACAGCGTATGTTTATGAATCACTATGAAACAGTGATGATAGCAGGTGTTCGTGAAAAGGTGAGCGTATCCTGCAACAACCACAATTGTAATCACCTTGGGTCGTCCAGAACGTGAGCGATCCGTCACCTCAGTGTTTTCATTGTATTTTCTGACCCAACGACTGACAACAGCGCGGTGGACATTCATTTCCCGACCAATTGCTTTGCCATCTCCAGCCATCAGATCATCGTCTTCGTACCACAGTGGCTGAAAAAAATGATTGAACATTGTAACCCAGCCGTTTTAATGCCGACATGTCCACAATATTCGTGGGTTTGCTTCTACATGCTCCTCAATGTGTGTAATTCTTAAATAAACATTATCATCAAATGTCATCCTACGGCATATGGAAGTTGGTATTCAAGTGTAAGACAAAATGTTATGGATGTCAACTTCTTCTTATTGTATACACGACGTTTCAGTCAACATATTAAGGGGTGCTAAACTACTTTTCAGGTATGTATTCAATCGAGACTTGAGATATAGTTCATGCATATGACATGTGCAGGTAACTGGGGACCTATTGTATTCTCAGCTACAATGCTTAAGGGGAACCTGACTGATTTAAAGGAGAGCGATGCAAATGTTATGCAGTCCAGGAACATGATCAGGGCTGCTTGTGGCGGAGGGAATTTGTTAGGTCACGGAATGTGGGCGTTAGTGTTTTCTCCTGTCGTCTTCATTTGTTATGTGTTACATATGCTACTGCTGTTATACATCTTTGCTCGAATACAGATAGGACTAAGTCTTTGTGAACACTGGATCTTCTGACGCTTTTGAAATGTGAGTATTAAAATGTGAATGGCAACATTTCTTACTGTTAAAGTATGAATACAGCAGAGCAACACCAACTAGAGGTACAAAGTACACGAATCTTATTCAATAGATACACCTGCTTGTTTTTTTTATTATACAGAAGTAGACAACCACATTGTGACCAACATGCAAACGGACGATATAATCCAGGCTGTGGGCAGCTTGGACCTGTTCCAGTTCGTGATGATGTCGTACGTGTTCGGATCCCAGATGCTGATGGCCTGGGCCATGCTGATGATGTCGTTTGCGGGCACTGCTCCGGATTGGTGGTGTGTTCCAGAACGAGATCCGTCTGTGAATGGGACATCGGTCAACTACATGAACAATGTCACCTCCAGCTTCTGTCCCCCCTCCGGCAACATCACCTGTCACTTTGTCTACAGCCAGGACAGAAACACAGTTACCAACGAGGTATGATGATCTACCTTTCCAGAACTGTGGAGATCCGTGTTAAGATTGGTCTGATGCTATCAATGCTTTTGGTAACAGGCGACTAAAGGTATTTGGTAGTCAGATACGCTGACTTGGTTGATACGTGTCATCGTATCGCAGTTGCGTAGGTCGATGCTCATGATGCCATTCACTGGACTCCATTATTTGCACTCCGGCTTGTAGCTGGAGTGTGGGTTTAAAGATAACCAAAACAAATTGAAAGAATTGTGGCTGGCTGAAAATCATTGTGCTTGTGACCATTTATCAAATAAGGCTTGAGTAACAGGTAATACATTAAACGTTAACATTTAAAAACGTGAAAACTATGAAACTATTTCAATAATTGGAAATACAGTTCTAATGTGATCTCCCCACATTTACAAAAATAGAATGTATGTATGTTTCAGTGGGATCTTATCTGTGAGAGAAGCCTGTTCAGGCCCCTTATCACGTCCATACAGATGGGCGGGGTGCTGATCGGGGCCTTCTTCGGTGGACAGTCCGCTGACGTCCTCGGACGGAAGTGGACTTTCTACATCAGCCTGGTCCTCCACGCTGGTTTCAACCTGGTGGCGGCGTTCTCCACGAGCTGGCAGATGTTTGCAGCAATGCGTTTTCTAATCGGGTCGATGATTGGCTCCTTGTTGGTGGTCCATTATCCATATTTCTTGGAGTTTCTGGGGACAAAGTGGCGACCTATCTCCTCCGCAAGTCCAGTTTGGATGACGGGTGTATGTATATTTGCTCTGTCCAGCTGGCTGAGACCTGACTGGTCGCATCAACACATCATACTGGCTGCACTTCATGTACCGTTCTTCACAGGCTGGTTGTAAGTATCTGCCACGGTGGTTTGTGAGTAAGATAGTTTGATAAGTAATAACCAACCAGTGATGTATAGCGACACTATTTGACATGCAAATAGCCCCCTCAGCACCCCAGAATCTTATGATACTGGGTTCGGAATCCATGTTCGAATTCGTCCGAATCATATTTCTGTCTTTTCAGCACTATATCTGTGCACGTTAGTTTCCCAAACTGAAAGTCACACTGGTGAAAGAGGGCAATCCCAAATCAGTCACTCGGATGTGTGTGACCGCTTAACCCATTCATGCCCCGCGTACATAACCTGTCCGAAACGTACCGCCACGTACGAGACATACAGACTATGACTTTCAACTGAAACAATTATTCATGTGATTATATTTTCCTTTGCAAAGCATAATCCCAGAAAGTCTCCGTTGGCTGGCTGTGAAAAGACGTCTGGAGGAGGCCGAGAAGGTGGTGGATCAGATGAGTCGATACAACAAAAGACCGAAACCCTCCAACACGTCACAGCTGCTGAAGGAGGTGGCGGACGAGGAGGAGATGCAGAGAGCATCTGGGAAGAAGTACACCTACCTGGACATCTACAGGGAGTGGCGCATCTGCCGGAAGTCTCTGATCGTACAGTTTCTCTGGTGAGTACACAGCTGGGGCAGATGTAAGTACAGTGTTTGTGTTATGTCGAACGGAAATAGAAGCCGAAACATTGACACCTTGACCTAGATGTGAATAGTGTCAGCTACTTGGTCAATTCGGAAGTGTGTCGTCTGGCGAGTATCGGGGATTCTAATGTGCCATTGAACAGAAGTGATTGGACTGTTAGACACACATATACAAGAGGTACCTGTGAGATCTGGGTTAGAATTGGTCTTCAGGGACCCATGCTTGTCAGAAGAGGTCACTAACGTGATCGGGTTGTCAAGCTCGCTGAATGTTTATTAAATGGGAAACTTCAAGGAAGGGTTACTGGAAACTACGAACCAATGATTATGTGACACCTTCCTCTATATAGATTTGGTGGATGGTGAAAAGGTTGAGCGGCTGGTTTCATTTTCACTTTTTGTTACGAGGGAGGAGTGCAGAGAAAGGGACTGCCAGGTGTGCGAGAAAGGATGGAGACGGCACAACACAGGTTAATGAATCAATAACTTGGTGGGCACTTGTGCACGTGCTTCTCTAACACCTGGCTGTCCCTTTCTCTGCACTCCTCCCTTGTACCAAATAGTGAACTGTGTCAAAATTTTAATGATAGTTTCTTAAATAACGTTTTTGGTGGAGTCCGGAAATTTTCAAATATAAGAAAGCTGTTGGGTATTAGTAAATGATAAACGTGTACTATTTATATTTATGTGGCAATTTTGTACAATGATAAAATTTGCAATTCATCGGTCCGTTTCTGACTCAAACGGACTGTAGTAGTCTGTCGGTGTGTTCTCTGTGTATTACATTAACATAATCACATGTCATTACTATCTGAGTGTGTACCTTGGGATAGTGATGCCTATGTCTTCAATTTCGGATGAAAGACAACTGTTCCACTTATTTTGACATCATCCACATTCATTGCGTTCAACGCTGGTTTGCCTTTTATGCCCGATGGAATCCGTCTCGGCAGACCATAAGTGTCGATGTTATCAACACTGCAGAATAGTATGAATTACTTATATGTTGGGAAGCTCACCACAGAAATGAGATTTGAACCAATGTCACAAGGTTGTCCCAAATTATATTGAACAGAGCTGAGTTGATCAGTTGATTTGCCAAATCAGCATATTTGAGAAAGTGTTTCACCCAAATCGCGAGTAAAACTAGTTATAGATTCATAATAAATTATACAAACGTGTACAATAATACAACTAGATTATCACAGATACAACTCAAATTTTAATGATATACTCAGGAGATCTGTCGGGCGACATTTTAAAACATGTTTTACAGGATGTGTCTGTCGATGGTGTACTATGGGATATCATTTGGAGTTGGAAAACTCTCAGGCAACTTATATCTGAACATCTTTCTACTGTCAGTTGTGGAGATCCCAGCTGCTGTGGGTACTTTCTTCATGAACAACAAGTGAGTGGACGCCCTATATTTCATGCATGAATTAAATAGAAGCATGGGTTTGGGATAGGACAAGATATCCAGGGTGCATGGAAATATTACCAGCATTGTTGTAGCCATAATTTTGACTGAAATGTTTACACAAAAGTTATACTACGAACAAAAACTGGTAAGCAGATATTAATTTTTTTATACTGTAAATTAGTTCAGAAAGCCTTTTCTGGATCAAGTGTTGGTCAAACCGAACACCAATACACTCCAATCTAATTTATGATTCATGACGATTTTTCTTATTTATTTTCTTATTCATTGAAGATTGGGCCGAAGATGGACCTCATTCACTTTTTTTTGTCGGCGCACTGACCTGTTCATTTGGCGTAGCCATTACAACAAGAACAGGTTTGGATTCATTGCTACTTCGCTATGTAAACTGTCAGGGAAAGGAAAGTATACTCTTGAAAATTAGACTTGACAAAAATCTTAGCCGTTATCAAGACGTTTCCAGGCTACCAAAACCACCGAAACACTACAGTGAAACCCGTATCACCATTACCTTATCACTTTATTTTAATTTTAGTCACCATTCAACATGAATGTATACTTCATGTACTATTAAGGCAACTACGAATAGTGTATTATGTCTTACTTCTGTTATGAGAAATACCCCCAAACCGCCCTTGACACAATCCCCATTAATTGATTTGTACTGATTTTCAATGCACTCATTTGTATCTCCACTTTCTCATCCTTACAGTGTTTGATATAATGTAAAGCCAATACCATTTTGCGAATAGCGGCCAAATTGCAATAAGCAATCTACCCTCAACTTTCTTGTCATATATGTCCTAGAATCATTCGCACGCAGATGCTTATATGTGCCAATAACACAGCGGATATCGAGTATCTTATATGGCCAACGTATTATTGTAATTACCATTGAACCAATCGTCACTTACTACTCGTTTCTTTAAGTATTATATTATATCATGTATCTATTCTCTAATACCCTTGAACCACAGGTCACCCCACCCTTGCCCTACCCCCATCCCCCTTCGTTTTGAGTTTCGAAATAGGCAGTGCTCTAGAAACAGCCGACCAGCAATGGTGAAACTACACACACACACACACACACACACACACACTAAAGCTGGAATAATGCTGAATGTTATGAAAGTCGTAAGCCAGATAATATTACTTGTTGTGTGGCCATCGTAACTGTCTCGTATTTCGATTTGAATATAGTTGTATTATCTTTCATCTCATTGTTATCATGAACCTAAAATATTCAATGCAATGGTTTTCTTCCTTCATACACATCTTGACATATAACATTGTTCATACACATCTTGACATGTAACACTGTACATACACATCTTGACATGTAACATTGTTCACACACATCTTGACATGTAACATTGTTCATACACATTTTGACATGTAACATTGTTCATACACATCTTAACATGTAACATTGTTCATACACATCTTGACATGTAACATTGTTCACACACATCTTGACATGTAACATTGTTCATACACATCTTGACATGTAACATTGTTCACACACATCTTACGTGTAACATTGTTCATACACATCTTAACATGTAACATTGTTCATACACATCTTAACATGTAACATTGCTGATACACATATTGACATGTAACACTGTTCATACACATCTTGACATCTAACATTGTTCATACGTATCTTGACACGCAATATTATTTGCACATATGTTACCATGTAGTTCTGTTCGTCCATATCTTGATAATGTGATATTGTTTGTTATTGTTTCAGCCTCTGTGGAGAACCAAGGAGTTATCATTAACGTCTTGGCGATGGGAACCAAAGTTGCAGTTGGTGCTGCTTGGTGTAGCGTTCAGCTGCTGTCGAGTGAGATATACCCCACAGTCACAAGGTAGATACATATATAGAACGTCATGCTAGTGCATTTGCATGTTTTGTATGTTTTGACGAGAAGATGTCATGGGAACAGAGAAACAACGAGTTCTAAGCACGAGTTGATTCTCTGTTCCCATGACATCTAGCAATACAAAACATCCAAATGCACTAGTGTGGCGTTCTATGGTTATTATATACCCTCTTATCTTGCATTAATCTGTTACTTAATAAAACAAAACGAATTTTGGAGAAAGTAGAACCGGCAGGGGTTCAATGCGGAATCTGGGGTTCAATACGGAATCTGGGGTTCAATGCGGAATCTGGGGTTCAATGCGGAATCTGGGGTTCAATACGGAATTTGACCTAGTCATCCGTATTGCACCCCTGTATTACTATGCTGGGTATATAATAAGAAACGTTATAGCTCTGTGTGATGTGGTAGAACATTGTGCGACATACATTGTTTAATGGGCAGAGATGGTACAGTGCTATACACAGCTTTGAGAGAAGCTGTATATATCCCTCTCACATAGCAGAGAATGTATAGTGGCATGTACAGATTTCTCATAGCAAAGTATAGCTAAATATACCACTTTCGTACGTAGCGTACATGCAGAACGTATGAAACGTAGTTGATTATATAGATACTAATCTTTATCTCTGGATGTGTTTCAGAAATCTCGGGTATGGAGCATGCAACACGACGGCCCGAATTGGCGGCATAATCGCGCCCTTCATTTTTGCCATGGTAAGTTTAGTCTCTCGTACAGACCCTGAAGCAAATATATCCAAGAAAGCCCACACAAGTCTAGAAAATGTGGCAAGTCTAGATTTCCTCAGTTTCAGGAAAATGAAGAAAGTCTCAGGGCTCCTTTTTATTATATATATATTTTTTTACTATGAACTTTTTTCAGTAAAATATGTTCATTTCAGAGACTAGTTGTTAGTCTATGGTAAGTTCTGCTTGATCAGATCCTTTCGTCATTTTTGTCACCTTCATATTGCTTTTACAAACAGAAAGGAATGAATTCCATATCGCAAAAAAGTGTATGACAAGATGACCAAAATTATAGATTCTCTCTGAATTCCCAATGTAACGTGCTATACATTTGATCGTGAAATATTACGACTTGAGAACGTTCAGAAGATCCTTTTATAAAATGCTTGCTACAAGGTTATGAGATTGTCAAAAATGGGAATATACACGAGAACGACAGTATTCTGTTGTCACAATTATCTTCGCAATATCTCCTATAAACCTGTGTGTTTTGTGAGTGAGTGAGTTTTACGCCGCACTCAGCAATATTCCAGCTATATAGCGGTGTGTGTGTGTGATTTGTGAAACATTATGATGGATGCAGTAGAATTTGTAAAATAGTCGGCGTTATGAATAATCCCACAATCTACGCGTATATAAGAGGCGACCAGGCAGTCATTTAGGGTTGTCTATTTGTTTATTGTGTAACGCCGTATTCATCAATATTCCGGCTATATGACTCCCACCTGTAAATAATCGAGTCTGGACAACCCAGTGATCAACAGCATGAACATCGATCTACATAACTGGGATACGATAACATGTGTCAACGAAGTCAGCGAGCCTGACCACCCGATCCCTTTTATGACAAACATGGGTTGCTCAAGACCAATTGTATCCCGGATCTTGACAGATCCTTAGCAATTAGGATACGATGACATTACATCAGTGATTGCTACCACGTTGATTATTGATTATTTCTAGCCCGGATCTCCCCGGACCGTTACAATACGAACAAACAATAAAACAAGCTAATGTTAATGTAACGCCATTTCTACAGGAAGGTGATGACGTCTTGGTGCCATTCATCATCGTTGGCTCGACCATGTCTCTCTGTGCAGTGTTACCTCTTCTTTTGCCGGAGACAAAGGGCCTACCCCTGCCCGACACCATCAGTAACAACAAGCCACGTGGACTCGCCCCAGTGGCGCCCTCTGAGAAGGAAAAGACAAAGGTTCAGTCGTGATTAAGATATCAGTCGACGTTTATTCGTGAAGGCGCGGACATGCCTACAAAGACATAGTTACACGGAATCTTTATGACCACAGCACAAAGAAATTGATACATTGATCAATATATTTTATGATGGTTATAATAAAAAGCTATGAAAACCCTTTCCACATCAATAAGAAATGTCTGCCAAGAGATGACTCGATTTACGATTCCGACTTTATCATGAATATTATGATCAATATAATATAGTGTTAATAGGCGGTCGTGAAAATGTGAGTGTAACACGTCCTGCCGGTGACACCTGTAACACGTCCTGCCGGCGACACCTATAACATATCCTGCCGGTGACACCTGTAACACGTCCTGTCGGTGACACCTGTAACACGTCCTGCTGGTGACACCTTTAACACGTCCTGCCGGAGACACCTGTAACACGTCCTGCCGGTGACACCTGTAACACATCCTGCCGGTGACACCTGTAACACATCCGGTCGGTGACACCTGTAACACGTCCTGTCGATGACACCTGTAACACATCCTGTCGGTGACACCTGTAACACGTCCTGTCGGTGACACCTGAAACACGTCCTGCCAGTGACACCTGTAACACGTCCTGCCGGTGACACCTGAAACACGTCCTGCCGGTGACACCTGTAACACATCCTGCCGGTGACACCTGTAACACATCCGGTCGGTGACACCTGTAACACGTCCTGTCGATGACACCTGTAACACATCCTGTCGGTGACACCTGTAACACGTCCTGTCGGTGACACCTGAAACACGTCCTGCCAGTGACACCTGTAACACGTCCTGCCGGTGACACCTGAAACACGTCCTGCCGGTGACACCTGTAACACGTCCTGCCGGTGACACCTGTAACACATCCTGCCGGTGACACCTGTAACACGTCCTGCCTGTGACGCCTGTAACACGTCCTGCCTGTGACACCTGTAACACGTCCTGTCGGTGACACCTTTAACACGTCCCACGTCACAAGCGATGCAAAACGGAGGATCCGCACCTTTCAATAAATATTCATGAGTATGTTTGCTGTGGCCAAATCATGACCTCTTAAAATCTGGACTGACGGCCCAAGTAGGTGTAACCGATAGTTGGTTTTATTGCATATAATTTCTTTGAGAGGCTTTTTAGAAGTTGTATAAATGAAGGAAAACCAAGTTCTATGGATAGTCTTCTTTATTGCAATGAGTGCGACGCTTGGGTGTAGGTACTAACACCGTTATCAAGCAAGTCATGACTTGCTTGATAACGGTGTTAGATGACTTGGCATGTGATGAACCATCCAACATCGACTGAATCGTCCATGTTGGGCGAGGAACAGATTCAGATTCAGTTTTTATTCAGTATTTCGGGCCTGAAGGCCTATAGTGCGAATACACTTGCTACCATTAAATGCACGTGGTGGTGGTGATATTTCTTGCATTGAAGACATTTTTATAAATTGCAATAGATTTGATTATATCAATATTTTTAGAATTTATCAGACTAGACAATATTTGTTTATCTCTTACAGGTGCTGATATAAATGATAAATACTTACTTCGTAAATCTGAATACTTGGTACACATAAATAACAAATGAAATTCACTTTCAATATTAACTGTATTACAATTTTTACAGATGGATGCATTTACATCACTTGCGTAAATAGTGAATTCTAAAATCATGAAAGCCAATTCTAAATTTACACAACGCCCGTATTAACGATTTGTCTTGTAGATTCATAGTATAAAACTCCGGTTCTAGCAAAGATTTATGAGAAGAATAGTGTTCTAAAACACTAGAATGTTTTATAGACATAGACCATTCTTGGAAGAAAATGTCCTGAAGACGTTGCTTAAGAACATATTAAACATTACATTCATTTCCAACCTTTTGTGAAATCCTTACATGAGAAAATCCAGTCGAAAAAAGTAACTGTCTAGCCTCTGATGCCCAATTAAGCTTGCCAATAGCATCTTGTAGTTTTAGGAAAATACAACTTTGCCTAGGGTACCTATAAGAATCCATTTTTAATAATTTCAGCCAAAATTTTATTACTCTTCATCTGGGGAGTAAAAATATATTGCAACGCCTAGTTTCCCCTAATACAGCCTTATTTGAAGCATACTTTCCCAAATTTAGAAACATTTAAAATATGATGCATGAACCTTTTCTATACAGTGAAAATATTTAGTTCCCCAAATTTCGGATCCATATAAAAGAATCGGTAAAACCTTACAATCAAAGATGGTACAAGCAGTTTTGAAAGAAATAAAAGAATTCTTTTTGAATAACTGGTGTACAGATTGCATAGCCTTTGATGCTTGAACAGATAAACTTTTACAGGCTGTTGACCAATTGAAGTCTGGATGAGAATATTAAACCCAAATATTTATAATACGAAACACATTTCAGCCTTGTATTACCATAATACCATACCTCATCCTTATTTAACACACCTCCATTTCTGAACACAGTAATATTAGTTTTCTCAATATTAACACTCAAACTCCAAGTTATACAAAATTGATGCAGAACATTAAGTTGTTGCTGTAAACCATTGACTGTATAGGAAAACATATTACATCGTCAGCATATAGTAAGGCGAGGAACGTAAGGGGCTAACAACACAGGCCCTCGTGTCTCTGCGAGGATTAAAGATTTATTCAATTTGAAATGCTTCTCGGTACAATGCATCACGATAAGGCCGGACACTTCGGTGCACCCCGTCCACCTGCTTTGCCGATCGCGCAAGATTGGTGTGTGGTCGGAGCAAGGCCTCTGATTGTTTGACGCTTGTAAATCCGTACATTCTTTATAAATTCCCGGGAATTTTCAATTTCATCGCCTCTTTGACTTTAAGAATATATTTTCCAGCAAAAGCTTCTTAAAAGAGAGCATCGGCTGTAAATGTCTCCTTAACAAACGTCGACCACACCTCCATTTTGTGCGGACCTATCGTCATCCATTTGCGTCTAGATCGTTTAGTTGAGGGTCAAAATTGGCTTTTAATCGACTTGCAGAAATAACAATAAAGAATTGGTAGGTGTGAAGCATTTCGAGTCGCGGGGCCATCTCCAATAAAGATTTTTTTTTCATTTTTAATCTTAAATCCTCACATAGACACGAGGGCCTGTGGCTGCCAACGCTACATTAGGATACGAAATCTGTGGCGTTTTGCAAACACACACACGATGTTTGTGACTTGTATGTCATATCCGTTTGTACGTGCGTGTGTCCGTGTGTACGACGCTAATGGAATAAACCAGACATTGTTATCCGTACAAATGTACGTTTTCACAGTTTACAAGGTAAACACTTAGGATATAGGTTTACGTCAGTTATGTCATTATCAACACGAGTGTTTACGTAGACACGTTGGTGGCCCTTATGACTGAATATATAAACATTCATATTTTTGTTATCGGTAAATAGACTCAGCTGCCGGGGATGCACACATAAGAAACGTTAGAAACCGGTGTGTATTCATGTATATTGCACCTCAAGTGGGGAATATGTATTTGTGCGACCTACACCACTGGGCTCCCCACATTGGGCCACAAAGCAATACATATCACGAAATGCAGTGGAAGACGTCAGCATGGCCTATATCATCTCATTAGGAAACGAAGAGAGCATGTAATTCTTTATAGAATTTTAGGTGATTGGAAAAATTGTTTGGGTTTGACTTAAGAGTGAAACGTGCAGTAATAAGTTAAAAAAGTCATAATACATTAAGTGTCTAGGTCTGCAATCTCTCCCGTATACAATCCATGTCCAACAGCAGTTTGAACCAGCAGATACATGGCTGATACTATGACCAGTGGCTCGAGTCTCCTGGATAACAGGGGCTCGTTTCACGAAGCGATCGTAGCGCTACAATTGTTGTAAGTCTATGTTAAAGTATGGGAGTTACGATCACCTTAGCGCTGCGATTGTTTTGTAAAATGGGGAGCTGAATAACAACCAGTCATGTCACTAAGCCGAGTCCCTTCGTACTTCTTCCATCCTGTTCTGAGGAGACCGCCTCCGTGGTGTAGTGGTTAGAGCGTCCGCCCGGAGAGTGGAAGGTCGCGGGTTCGATCCCCGACCGCGTCATACCAAAAGACGTTAAAATATGGTACTTGTTGGTCCCTGTCTGGCGCTCGGCATTAATGGGTACAATAAGGACTGGTCGGCTCGGAGTCAGTATAATGTGTCTGAGTTGGGTATTCATGCTTCACTGCGGCATGGTATCTCAGTGGGCTAGCACTATATAACCAGCTTAAGTCTGGGCGATCGTACAAGCAGCCGCACCTACACATACACACGCATGCACGTCGTCATATGAGCGAAATATTCTCAAGCACGACGTAAAACCCACTTTCACCTCACCTGTTCTGAGGACCTATTCTCTACCATGTTCCCATGTTTTACTACTCATATAGAGACGTACATGCATGTGTGTGAGTGGCAGTCTGTACTAGCTTTCCCGTGTACCTCATCGATGTCGGGTTTGTTTTCCCCCCAAAGCATCACTTTGGCCAAGCTTTAAGTCCCGAGGATCCGACATTGATGTGAAAGTGTGAGTGACTTTGGTTTAACACACCTCTTTTAACGCCTCAGTTATATCAGGGCGTAACCGTTTGGGGAAGAAAGTTTCTGGCACGCGAATTACGACTTGGTCACCTAACAATGCTGGCTAAGTTTCTTCCGATACATTAACCTAACTTACACTGCACACAACATGCTTCATTTTACAACGAAACTGTAAAACAGGACGTAAAAAGAGGGTTATCTATTACGGTGCTTTGAAAATTAACTAGTGTTTACCCGGTTGGCAAATATAGCCGCGCTTATAAATGCCAAGGTGGACTGTCTGGACAATGCTCTGTTTTTCCTATCAGAATCCAGCTACAACGCCGACCTTGATCCAGCTACAACGCCGACCTGGATCTAGCTACAGCTCTTGTTTGTCCAGCTCATGCAAATATGCGTGACACGTGGGTTAGAGACAGTTAATGTCCTGCTGGCGGCGAAATTGTCAGTGGGATGAAATACGACCCACATTGAACATAAAACTAGTTAAATGAGTCCACGTTTAATGCCACAGGTGTAACTATATCGTCCAGTAATCTACTCCGGTTGTACTTAGCGACTTGGGATCGAACAGTCA